CTAGAACGCGGGTAAGTCGCGCCTAAACCTAATTTAGGACTTCGGGTATCGACGGGTAAATTCGAACAAAATCAGTATGGAATTAGGTGCGGAATCACATGGATAGGGGGTGAAAATTTTATGGCGGGCCTTAGGAATTAATTCGGGTAATATTTATTGGAAATTCAGAAAATTAGGGGCTGCGAATTACTGTTCATATGCCTCGAATCACTGTTCACTGGCTGTGGATTACTGTTCACCGAGCTGTGATGGTCCGATTGGGACGCAAGTTGAATTTTTGGAACCTAGATATTATGTCGAGAAAGTCCCGTGAAGAATCGGAATTAATCCGACGCCGTTTGGTTGAAGAAAAATGGGAATTATCGTATTGGATGCATATTTAAATTATTAGTAAATTGTGGTAATTCAGTTGAGTATGCTGTGGCGTGCTGTTGGGTACGAGAATGATACCGTTGAGTCCGGCTCGGAGTTTCATGTAAGTGTCGGGAAGAGTCGGTGGTGTGATTTTGTGGTTTGAGTGCAGAAATTACTGTTCACGAGCTGTGGGAGTACTGTGCACTGTGCTGTGGTGAGTCGTTTGATGCGTGTTCGGTACCGTTAGGTCCGTCTTGGAATTTTATGAAAATCCCGTGAAGGGCTGAAAATGATTTGAAAACATTTGAACAAAGAAAAATGTTGTTTTATGCGAAAATGTGCTTTTGTGTGAAAATGGTGATGTGGTGAAGTGTGGGGTGCAAGTGTACACGGAATTTGAGGCAATGGCATGAGAAAGTGAATGTGGGATCGGACCGAGGCGTGTGATGCTCGGGGCGCGATCGAGGGGCTTGAGGCGTGAACGAGTACGCGGGCCGGATGTGGTGAGTGGTCGCAGTGTACCTGAGGCGTGTACGTTTACACGGGTCACTGGCGAAGAATGAGAAAGAGGAAATGAGAATGGACGGAATAATGGGATAAGAGTGGTATATGCGCGTGTTTACATCTGACAGGATTGAGTTTGAATGATGTTGTGCGCATGTTTGAGCCTGGCAATATTTTTTGTTGTGCCTGCAATGTGATGTTTCAGCGTGTGGTGATATTGAGTGTTTGAATTTAATTGGCGCTCATGGTGCATTGCATTGCATAACATGGACACGCATTGTGTATGCCGAGAGTGAGGTATGTGATGAAATTGTGTGAGAATGCGTGTCTGCCATGAGCATGTGATCACCTAAAATGCCCTGAAGCGTTATACGCTGGGTTCAGATAATAATAAGTTGTGTGATCACCGAAGGACCTTCGGGTCGTGACCTTCGGGTCGATACCGTCCTCATGCACTTTGAAGCAGGACGATGCCTGATACGACCGGAAGACGACCATCCTCATGCACTTTGAAGCAGGCTCTGGTTCGTAAGGAGATCAGTATTGCGCCTCATGCACTTTGAAGCAGGCTAGAGACACTGGGCCAGATCGGTTGCTGCGCCTCATGCACTTTGAAGCAGGCTAGACGCACCGGGCCGTTAATAATGTGGACTCAAGTCGTAATTAATAATAAATTGGAAAATTGCCAGTGTGCCAGTGTGGGCCAGTGGGCCGGAGAATGCGTATGACATGTAGATGACATTTGCATGCATGGAACATGCATAGACTGGCATGCAAACGTATGAGAATCGGTGCATGAACGTGTGATTGACATACGTGTGATTATGCGTGCCACGCATGTGCCGTGCCTATTGTATGTTGATCTGCCTAACCTGCAGGGTTAGATAATTGTCTGACTATTGTGGTATTGTGATTTGAATAATTGTTTCCAGTCAGGAGATTGCATGCTAGTCTAGCCTAGGTTGGGTTTAGGGGTGAACTTACTGAGAAGTGTTCTCACGGTTGTTTCAACCAACAATTTCAGAACCCCGACAGGACCCATGAATCTTCCGCCACCGCCACCAGAACGTTTTGGAGTCCTCAGTGGATGGGACGGTATAAAGGGACTCAGACTCAGAGGACAAGGAATCAGACTCAGAATGGGTTTTTGGCGAGCACCTTTTTTGGAGTAGTAGTAAACCCAAGTTTTCGTCCTTGGAGTATCGGTTTTTGAGAAAGGCGATATGCATGTACATTTATGGGACAGTTTATAAATGTAAATATTATGGTATAAGAAGGAAATGAAAAAGATATGTATATTCTCCCTGATTTTTCTCCCCAGTTTTAATTGTCCGGGTTTAATTGTTGATATCCGCTGTGGTAGTAAATCTCTGATGGTGAATTTGAGGTCAGCGATATTCCTGGGACGTCGCTTGAATCGACCAGAGGCGGTGTCGCGTGCCGTAGGGGTTCGGGGCGTGACAATGATCCTCACCAAATTTCTCCGAAATAGGCCGCCTAATGGCTAAAATGAGGATTCTTCTCTCGAACTAGTTCTTCTTCGACTCAATTCATCGACACAAAAACAGCAGGCGATCGACGAACAAGTGTTATCACCAACAAAAACTTGATGAGAAGAAACTGTGCTACCTCGAGAATCGACAGCATGCAATTGGAATTTGCAGGAGCTCGATCAGATTGAACCTCTGAACCACGATTATCTTACACCAAGATAAGGCAACCGGCTGGGTAAGTAAGGCCAAAAGAAAAAAACTACATGGAGCAACAACTGATCCATTACTAATCAAGAAAAGGGGCAAAGCAACTAAATAGCGAAACATTCAACTAAATCGAATAAGTCCATTGTAAGAAATAAATGAACTGACATAAGGTAGTAATGGAGCTTCACCGATTTGTCATCTATGGTGTGACAAATTCAGGATGAACAAGTTACTTAATCGTAAATGGTAAAACCATCTGGAAAGTCATGTAAAAATTGATTTACACGGGCAAAGTTCAGAGCAAATTCTTTACTACCTTTTGCAAAGAAAACATACACCGAGTCTTGTAGACATACAGCTTGACGAGTCCTTTGTCCCTTCCTTAACCTCTACTTCTTGAAGGGAAAAATAACGAAACCTAATTTGGAGTTAGTTCTTACTTTACTCAAACAAACCGAACCGATCTTCATTTTCTCTTTCGTTTGACATGCTTATCTTATATAAGTCTTAAACAAGTTGAAGTGTGTTTAAGTATGGTCAAGTTTGTCTTAGTTTAGTGAGTTCAACATGGCGTCAAACTAATCAATCAAAAGATTTTATACATAATAACGAAAAAGAAAATCATTTGAGTGGTGATCTCACTCATGTAAATCAAGGAATCACCACTATATCTGGTGGCAACTTCATGTAACAGCAAATCAGAGGGACTCTGTTTTTTTTTTTTTTTGCTTAAAATAGTTCGTCTTAGACTCTTGTGTCCATACTATTTTCGTACTTCGACTTTTTAAATTAAATTTTTTTATTTGATTTTCTGATTGACCAAAGTAATTTCCTTTGACAAGCTTTTTTTACCACTCTAAACAGTGAAAAACGAAAATAAAATTTTTGATTAAAATATTTTTCTGCAAACAAACAAAATCCTAGAAGAACTTTTCAAAACTCAGTCATAAAAATAATGCAGGGTCACATCCCTCCGGATTTTACTTATATTACAGATCATCGTCTTCGAACCAGAACTTTTTACGAATTTATTTAAGCCTCAACCATATAGTTACTATGAGTATATGCAAGCATGGTATAACTTTTTAAATCAGAAACATTTTGATCATTCATGTTTCTTCTTCTTTGATAAAAATTTTCAGAAAACGAGTCCTATTTGGTTCCAAGACTGGTTTAATCTAATTTGGTCCAGGTTCTCATATTTTCCCTCCATAGGTTTCAAATGGATACAATTACTTCTCTCGAAATATTCAAGAACCTCTTCATCTTCACATGTTAGATCTTGCTCAGTAGACCGTGGTATGCTCTATTCTTGAAAGATAATTAGAAAATTAAATGGTGGTCAAAATTTGCCCCTCCATTTGCAAATGAAGAGGCGTTTATGGTTCGCTGCAAATCCCACTCGGTCAAAGTCGCAGACTACCAGAACAAACTCACTTATTCCTCAACAAAGGTCAACATCAAGCTCCACTTGCAGCCGCTCCAGATCAAAAGTCTCTGCTAAAAGTAGTTCGGGAGACAATGTCTCAAGCAGGGTCTGACGATTTAGAAAACAGTTTTGCTCCTCAAGATCAAGATGATTGTTATGGCATAAACCTCATGAAGCAAGCAATAGTTTTATCATTGTCCGATAATAGAATTCATGCAACAGTATTCCTCAATGTTGTATATCATGAAGCCATAGTAGCAAGTTTCCTCTTTGGATAAAATTTCCTTCATCTGCTCAAACTCAAACTCAAGATATATCTTTAATATGTGAGGTCACGAGATCGAAACCATTTGCGATGGTAGTGCATACATCTCGTTGCGTCAGAATGGTTCTGGACCTTTGGCACCTTGATGGGGTAATTGTGATGGGGCTTGCCTACTTCAATGAATTGGTCATGAGTGGTGCTAAGTGACGACTTTCTCGGAATAAGAATATCTCATTGCAGACGCAAATCCTCAAAGCAACATCCAGATGGTAGCCACGGCTATTGATCCTCCCTCCCTTCCCCCTCTTGCACAGGAAATATAAAATGTAGGTCTGCTAAAAATGTTAAGAGATGGAGTAGGTATTTGAATAAAAGAAAGATGAACTTTAATCTTTGATCAGGCAACCAGTTTGTCAATGGGTTTTGACCAGCAGGGCTCATCAAAATCTAGCTGTCACACTCGCAAATTCAAAACATCTGTTTTCAGTAGCGTTCGTTCATCTGCACCATAGCAGTTGGAAGAAAGAAAGCTTCTTATTTCGATTATTGACCTGAGCATGTTAAAAGGATATTATCTAACAAATCCAGGCATTTATACAGAATTTCATTATAGTACTTTTTGGCTAGGCAACGCCTACATTATAGCTAGTAAAAGCAATTCTGTACTTAGAGTTGAATATAGAGTTTTGTTGACTGTGATAATATTTTCATAATTAATTCTCCCGAACAGTGCCAAAGCATGAAAATAGGGAAAATATATTCATACAGCTTTCTCAAAAAATAGATTGTCTTACAAAATAATTTACTGTGCTAAAATGGTTCTTTCGCAAATGATTAAATCATTTTACTGTGCATCGGAAAGCTGACTTCCGCGGCGATAGAGTATCAAACTTCCAGGGGCACAACAAATGGACCTATTGCTAGGACAAAATGTGCAAAGAATCATAAATTATACCAGGACCACAATCCCAACTCAGTTCTTAAGCTATTGCAAATGATACTGCATGCTCAATGTCAAAAACTTAGACTCATCCTTCCACGAGCCCTTATCAAGTATATATGACAAACGAGGGCCAGTGTGACTGTGAGTCCGTCCTGTATATCAGCAACAATCCTCTCTTCGTCCTTTTTCGCTTTCTCTATGTAGCTGAGCCTCATTTTCTGTTTTGTAAGGTAATGTGTGATGTAGCTAGCAAGGATCACCTAGAGGGGGGGGGGGGGTGAATAGGTGATCTTAAACAATTCTTTACCAATTTAAAGCGGAAGTAAAAGATCAAGAACAAAGTCTGAACAACAAGCAGATTCTGATCAGACTTTGTGACAAATGTTCTTGTGAGCAGTATAAACAATATAATAAGAGATTAGAGATGGAGAAAACTGCACACAAACAATTATAGTGGTTCGGCTTAGATCAAGCCTACGTCCACTCTCTCACGCTGACAGCCTACTGGCTGGATTCCACTAATAAAATCAATGAGAAGTTACGGCAAGTTGTGCCGCTTAAACCCAAGCACTTCTCCCCGAAGCTGGTGCTGCTTATACCAAGCCGATAGATCACATTATCTCACACCTAAGCACACACTTATAACACTGTCTACACCTCTCAAATGATTACACGTTTAAGCTCACGAAAGACAAGAGATTGAATCGGAGTATGCTCAGACTTTGGACTTGTTGATTCTTGATTTCGTTCTCTACCTTCTACTCCTCGTTGATCTCCTTTTATACTCCTCCACTTTCAAACTAGCCGTTGGATAGTCTTCAGAGGATCATCTTCCAATATTCATCTTTGGACAGATTTGTATAAAATGGATTGAGTAGCCGTTGGTTGATAAAATCTGAATCCCGCTTATTCTGGTCGCCCATACAATCAGAATCTTGGTTTCCATAAGTAGAGCTTTATCCGTTGTAATGCATACTTGTCGTAATGTTCGATTGTCAATCAATTTGATTGAGTTTGAGACAATCAAAATTTTCCTTCTGTGAAATCCATACCAGATCACTAGCTGTTATTTTTCGTTCTGAGTTCTGCGTCTGAATAATTTTAACGTCTGTGTCTGAATAATTTCAGTGCCTGTGTCTGAAGAATTTCTGCGTCTGAAGAAATTCTGCGTTTGAACTTTCTCGTTCTGAGTCTGAACTTCTCGTTCTGAGTCTGAATCTCTTTTGCTTGAAGTTCTTTCACAATCTGAACACGAACTAGATCAAGATTGACATATGCTTTTCTTCCAAAAACAACTTCCTGAATCAAAATACTTCAAAGCATTTATCAGACTTACAAAACACTTATGGACAGTTTTGTCAACTTCAAAATCTATTGGGAATTTTCCTTAACAATGTGAACCCATTGAACCACTCTCTCTTGATGTCAATAACTAGATTCACCTTATTCAAGGAAAACTGAAGCACCTTCCTATAGTCCTGAAAATTACCAAGAAAAGGCGCCACCTTGCCTTGAGAAACCACCCAGACCTCATCTGAGCTTCCAGCTATTAGATGCTCATCGTGACTAACCTGCAAATCAAGGCAAAAAGAGGACTGTTATCCCTGAAAATGATCCATCATTGGTCAAATCGAAGTATTTTGACAAGAAAATCAATCTCACCAGTAGAATTCCTGCTTGGAACAAGTCCAGACCTTGAATGAGTGCCTCCGCTGCATCCAAATCCTACGGTTGAGGATAGGCAAAAATGCAAAATCACAGTCACTCATCCTTAGACAAGAAACAAACAATTTGCAAAGATAATACTTTAGCAGTCATTGGTCATTAAAGTAGAATTTGAAGACCAAATTTATAAACAAAAAGTAGGTCCACAACCACATTAACTATGTGCAGAGCCCAATATTGCCTATAGGCACATATATCAGAACTATTTGGTATAATGACTACTCTAATACGAAAAAACTGATCAGGCTAGCATAACTGTTCTATTCCCAACATTTTCCAAGTTGGAATAATTAGATTGGTTTATGTTCCATTATAAGTTATATATATGATGACAGAGGCTCTCTGTAGCTGTAATCACTGATTGGTTCTCCTAAAATTTCAATGTAAGAGCAGATTCCGATAAGTTCAATTAGTGCAAGAAAAATAATAAGCCAACTGAAAAGGTAATTGAAGTCATAAGATGGAAAAAAATGAGTAAACTTGGCAGATGATTGGATGGCTCATCAAGCAAAACTATGTAAGGTTTCTCGAAAGTTATCTTGGCAAATGCAGCTCTGCTTTTCTGACCACCTATTTATATGGTCAAAGCACCATGTTATATCTGCAATAAATCCAAATAGCCTTGGAGTAGTACACAGTGAACTACAATTCAGATTACAAATTGACTAACCTCTACTAGAGCTTCTAAATTTCATGCGAAAATTGCTGCGACAAAAAATTTACATATGCAACAGTAGCAAGAGGGAGGAGATGTACCAGACAAGGTATACATTGGTTGAAGTGCACGATTTCCAGTCACACCAAAGTAACCCAAGTGAGCTCGAAGCTTTTCTTCCTGAACTCCCTACAGGAAGAATGCCACATAAGAAGGTATTTTCAGATAAAATGACAAAATGTATGACGGATTCATTTTCCGCAGTGGAGTAAACGCAAATGCAAACCCAGAGGCAGGCATCATATCATTACAATCTCAACCAAACAAGCATAAGTATAATGGCTGAATATTTCTAGCAAGCTGTAAGCAATAGTTTCCTAAACCACCGGAGATCAAGACCCAAACGGAAGGTGATTTATGGTATATCAATGCTGTCATGAATAGGAGTTGTATTGAAAGCTTGGAGCCACGGGCTGCCTCAGAATATTATCCCAGATCGACTGCTTAATACTATGAAGGATCATCATCAACAAAAAGAAGGTTCTCGATTCTAAAGAAAACCATAAAAAAAAAAATACTGCATCCCCTTTCTTCACAATCGCATCACGGCTTCCACATAACTGATCATTTTTTTTAGATTTTGAAAAAGATTATATTCACTAGAAGAAAATTTAGAACATATCAGTGCACCAAATAAATTTCATTGTTTCTTCTTCTTTCTTTTGGATAAATTGCAAAAAAAATGACACAAAAACATTGACAGCATTAGCCCTACCTCAACAATGTTCGCAAATGATCCTTCCAATAGATTTTGCCAATGCTGACTACAATGGTACCTGCAAAACAACTAGAGTGAATGAGCTAGGGCACAAGAAAAAGATGTTGTGAAGAGAATAAACAGCGAACGCTGAAAATGCAGAGGAATATGATTGCAGAATGCTACGATTCTCCGTGACTCTCATGCAAGGCATAGTACATTTTTCATTCACAATTTGTTTGGGCATCAAGCAGAGTTGAAGATATGTCATCAATATAGCAAGAGGAAGATCCAACCCAACGAGAAAACCCACCCGAATGTCCGTCTTTGACCTTCAATGGCTGGTTTTTTGGAAATTCATGGGAAACATCTCCACTGGAAAGTATCAGTTTGTATTACGCATCGAATCGAGGAAGCATAAATGGAAATCGATGCCTCCAAAAACCATAAAACTCACCCGAACCCTAGAAAACTCACTGTACATGGCCGAATCAATTCACTGGATCCGAACGCTATCAATCTTGATGCTCGGGATGTCTTGGATGAGGGGCCAATAGTCGCCACCGAGGTTTGAGCATCGATCTTTCAGAATCTCGCATCCTTCTATCAACAATCGTTGGAGGGAGGGAGGGAGGCCATCCTCTGGCAAGTACCTCAGCTTCGGGCAATCGAAAATCCCCAAATGTTGGAGAGAGGAGAGGCGGTTGCGAAGACCGCTCGACAGTCTTTCCACGTTCTTCATCCGTTTAATCACAAGAGTGGTTAGAGAGGAAGGGAAGAGAAGACTCCACGCATCCTCCTCCTCATTCTCCTCCGATGGAAACCGCACCTTCTCTCCCTCCCTTCCCATGCTCATTCCGTCAATTAATAGATACTTGAGGGATGTGAGGAGGGGTAAGCCCCATTCTCTCACTGGCTGCTCCAGATTCTCGCACCTTGTAATGGAAAGGGTCTGCAACTTGGGAGGAAAACCTCCTTCGGGCAAGCGTTTGATATTTTGGCAAGAAATACTTATGTACGTGAGGGATGCAAGATGGTGCCACTGATTTGGTAGATACTTTACCTTAGGACAATTATAGAGCACGAAATATGACAGGGTGATGGGAAGGGGAGGGAAGTCCTCTATCTCCAATGCTGGACAGTCACGTATTTTAAAAAAAGTGAGATGGGAGAGCATGCGAAGGCACTGTGGTAGACTTCTTAGTTTCTTACAGTTGTCAATAGTTAAATATTTCAACAATGCTATGGCGATCTCTTCCAGTGACTCCACTCCCTCGCAATAACTAATTTTAAGTGTCTTTAGAGCAACAAATTGAGGCATCGGGTTAATACTGGTGGGATCATCGGAAGCAATGATAAATCCCATGCGTTTTGGACAATTCTCAATAACAAAATTTCTGAGGGCCTGCATTTTGCTCGGAAGCTTTTCTAAACTCATGCAATCCCTTAATTCCATGCTTTCAAGGTTGGAAGGCAGCTCTATCTCTTTTTCTCCTGCCACAAAAGACGTGAATTGAGCACAGCTTTGGATGGCTAATTTCTGGAGGCAAATAAGATTTCTTGTTTCATTTTCATCTTGCCACAAGTGTGTTAGCTTGTCACAGCTTCTTATTTCAAGCTCTTTTAGCTTGACCCAACCGCTCATAAACTCATGATTAAAGCAAACGAGATCTGCAAGATTTTCAACTCTGAGAACGGTTAAAGAAGTTAGGTTGACCAAGCACGTTAAGATCTCCTTATTACAATCCTCAAGGTATAACTCGCGGAGAGATGGAAGACGAACAATGCCGGTTAAGTTATTCAAATGCGGGCATGAATGAATTTCAAGTTTTATGAGAAGATCAAGTTGACAAGGCAATGTCTCGACCAACGAAGGACAACTCCGGACAACAAGATGCTGAAGACAGGAGAATGGGACTTCTTCTTTTGGGTCCCCGGCATAACGACCCCAATCCTTCCATGCCAACATCTCTTCAAACTTCAAAGTTGTTAAGGTCGAGAAAGGCCTTTTACCACCGTAAAATTCAGAGCCTATCATTCTTACTGCATGTAGACCTTTAAGAGATAATTCCTTAAGTGAAGGTAGTTGTCCAAGTAGGGGCAACGACGTGACATTAGGACAGTCTCGCAAGTACAAAGACACTATCTTAGAATATGATGGACTATCTAACCAGGATGGGAGTTTTGTACCACTATAGTATGAGATAGTGAGATTTTCAATATTAGTGTGAGGTTGCAGAAAGTGAAGCACCTGCGCTTCACACTTATCATTCCGCAAATTTCCAAAATCTTCACCCCAATGCAAGGCTAAGTTGCTAAGGCCTTGCTTTCCTGACAAATTAGCATCAACCGCGTCTCTCACTTCTTCCACCTTTTGCAATTCTGATATGAGTAATTCTCCTTGAAGATGTGGCAACTTCTTTAACTCTTTTAACTGTGACCCTTTCTCTATTCCCACCACAAACTTGGACAAGATAGTAAGATTCTTCAAATTACTGATACCCAATGGCATCTCTTTTAGACTTTCTGTATCTCTAATGTCAAGAAACTGTAAGCTGACCAATTTTGTGGTACCTGAAGGCAACATAGAAAGCTTTCGACAACCTCTCAATATCAAAGCTTGTAATTTGCACAAGGTGCTCATTGACTCAGGTAGCCATTTGATATTGGTGTACGAGAAATTGAGATATCGAAGATGTTTTAAATCACCGACACAATGCGGTACCTTTGTGATGTGACAATGACATAACGAGAACACCCTCAAGTACTTTAAGTTTGTTAGCAAGTCATGTAGCACCTTGTTGGAAATAGAGAAAGAGCCCCCACTATATCCAACACGTACTAGAATTAAACTTCTTAGTACCTTCATTCCGTGATATGCTCTCAGGAATTTTGATGTAACAAACCATGTTGTGATGAATGATGCATAACGAGCTTTCTCTTGAGATGCATCGTCTTCATTACCTGCTAGCTGAGACTCCCCTGACCTAAAGCATGTCCCACCCGCAATAGACTTTGCTAGATCATTTAGAAGATCATGCATTAAAAACTTAGATGCGTTGACCCTTGATTGTTGAAGAAATGATCTCGATACTAACTCATCGAAGTGATCCCATCCCAATCTCAATATATCTTTCTTTGCTTTTTGTCCATCTAAAAAGCCCTCTGCTATCCATAAAAGCACCAACTCATCCCTCTCAATTTCATAATCCTTGGGAAATACCGCACAATAAGCAAAACATCTCTTCAAATAAGAAGGAAGATGGACATAGCTCAATTTCAAAACTGGGAGAATCTCATCTTTTTTTCCCTTCGGAAGATCCCATATTCTGTTATTTAATATAGCTTTCCATTTATCCGGATTCCTTTCGTTACATAGGGCACCGCCTAACATCTTCACTGCCAAAGGCAAGCCTTTACATTTTTTAGCTAATTTCTTGCCTATTCTTTCAAGATTTGGGTGGCTTTCAAAATTTGTTGCTCCAAGAGCATGAAAGGCTAATAAGCTTGTACAATTATCAAGGGACAACTCCTCCAAAGGATACGGCGAAGCTCCTCTTATAGAAACAACAGCAAGGTTGCGAGTTGTGACAATGATCTTGCTTCCCTTGGCCCCCGCTTCAAATGGCTTTAAGAGGTCAGTCCATTTTCCGTAGTTCTCATTCCAGACATCGTCTAAAACCACAAGAAACTTCTTTCCAGATAGATTGTCCTTCAACTTAACTTGAAGCCCGTTAAGATCTTCACCCTCGCAGGACAACCCGGTGATCGACCGCAAAATAGTCTTTGTTATGTCGAGAACATCAAAAACATCTGACACACAAACCCATGCTCGAGTCTTGAAATAGCTTTTCACTCTGGCATCATTATACAGCCTTTGAGTCAATGCCGTCTTTCCAACACCACCCATCCCAACTATGGGGACTATGCTCAGCGTGGCATTAGAATTTTCGACATCACTAATTAATCGTTCGAGTATTTGTGCTTCTTCCTTCTCCCTGCCGAAAAATTGAGTCTCCGACAGAGAAGTGCTAGGAAGCCTTTGGTTGGTGTTGTCAAATCTGCCCACAACATTCTCTCTCAATCTTAGATGATACTTCATGGTGACAATCTCTTCCAACCTATCATTGATCTCTTGGACCTCGGTTTCAAACACGAGCGAGTGTGGGTTTGGATTTGATCTGGAGGATTTATCTCGGCCAAAGCAAGAGAACTTCCAATTTATCTGACCTCTGCTTTTGCTGGATTTTGCCCCCGACTTAACCTGAGTGGCTTGGATCGCGAGCTCATCAAGCAAGTCTTCCATGTCATAGGCGAAGTCCCTAACATCGTCCAACCACAGTTTCACTCTATAGTTACCGCTCAGTTGCCTGTCCTCTGCATCATCCAGCACTGCATTGATTGTGTCTAGCGTCTTCCTCCATTTATTGAGCAGGTCAGTGCTAATTCCAGAAAAGGGTGGTGTTCCTTCCCTTTGCGCATAGTTCAATCCCAAAGATGCTAATTTGTCGAACAGGGCCTGAAAGAAGGAAGCCAAGACGGAACCCAAAACGATCTCTACAATGGCCATGGGTGAATCAATCACTGGAGACAACAACAAAGGTTATGGTGAATCAAAGCGATAATGAGCTAATGGAGAGAGAAAACTATGAAGTCGAGGAAGACCAAGACTTTCACCTACCAAAGAGATGAAATGAAGACCAAGACTTTTGAGGATGCTTTTTGTCCACAAGTGCTTGCTTCGTAATATTTAGAGATTATCTCCAATATTCATAGTTTCCACGATCATATATCCTGTTCATGTAAATAAACCATAAACTCAAGAAAACCAACACTACTGGGTATCATGAACTTTTTTGTCGTGAAAGTGAAGCAAAAATGACAAAGAGCTGATGGGAAAGAAACGTTAATAAAATCTAGAAAGACCAAGACTTATGAAGACTGATTATTATTTGACATTTAGCACTGATTATTGTTCTCTTGCTCAAAATCAATTAATTTTTGTCCAATTTTTTGTCATTTCTAACCATATTGTGATTTTTCATTCGTTAATCTCTATTGTACTTGTCTATCGGAATTATGTCTAGATTTTCATTGATCTTTCCAAATTTAAGTAATAAAAGAAAAAAGAGAAACGCAGGAATGGGGCGATAATACTCTTCGTGACTTTCGGAGAGTTCCACTTCACAATTTTGTTTTTTTTTAAATGAAGATGCAATCTAAAGTTATTAACATGCATAAAGATTTTCCTAGATTATCCATTTTATAACATTTGATTTATGAAAGGAAACGTACAAATAAGACAATTAATAATAATCCACTCCAAATGGCCTAGATGTGCATGATAATGCTTGTCCACGAAAATTCTATTTTTTCTAATATAATTGTCCTGATACGAATATAAGGCAATTCTATCCTAATAGATAATGAAAAATCATAAAATAGAGGTCAGTTTTGGCTCAAACAAGTAGCGTGCAGATGTATCACCTCAGCAAAACAACTAGGCCAAATTAAGATCAACAAATCACCATGATCAAGCCATGCAACTTTAATCTGGACAGCAAGTATTTGACATCAACTTCCCCAAAAATTTTGTTATTAAATTGGCAATCGGGATAATAGATAGACATGAAATCGGTTTAAGAGCCAAAATTTTGGTGCTGTTGTTGCCTCTTCTTTTGCTCAAAAGATTGCTTTTCCCTCCATTAATTGAAAATTTTCAGAAATGATGGGCGGTTGCTCTCGTGTAATGAATGTCTACCAGATTCTTTAGTGAACGAAGTTCTGGCTGCATCGGCTTGAGGGGAAAAGAGAGCAAGTAGATAGATGTCTCTTACCTGTTCCGAGTAGACTTCCCGGAGGAGACCGTTGAACGGGATTAGATCAACGAGAGCAATCCAACAAGCACGAGCGCTAGGTTCGGATGAGCAGCAAGAGAACACTGTTGAGCAGGGGGAAGAGCATATGGTGAAGCCAAGTGATAATGAGATAATGGAGAGAGAAAACTATAAAGTCCAGCAAGACCAAGACTTTTCACCTACCAAGACATGAAATGAAGACCAAGACTTTCGAGAATGCTTTCTATCCACAAGTGCCTGTTTTGTAATATTAAGAGATTATCCCAGATATTTGTAGTTTCCACGATCATACATATTTCTTCATGTAAATATACCATAAACTCAGGAAGACCAAGACTTTACTAGACATCATGTACTTTTTGGTCTAGAAGGTGAAGCAAAAGTGAAAAGGAGCAAATGGGAAGGAAAGTTCAATAAAATCCGGGAAAACCGAGACTTTGCAAGACGCAAATTGGCTTTGGTGCTTCACTTTTTAAAAAGAAAAACCAAAAAAAAGCAAAAAACTGATAAAGAAAATAAAATGCAGGAATGGGACGATAATACTCTTCGCGACTTGCGGAGAGTTCCACTATACATTTGTTTTTTTTTTTTTAAAGAAGATGCAATCTTAAATTACTAACATGCAAGATATGATTTTCCTACATTTTCGAATTTGGAAATGTGCAAATATGATAATTAATAATAATGCACTCCAAATGGCCTAGATGTGCATGATAATGCTTGTCCTGATACTAATATAATGAAACTCTATCCTAATATGTAATGAAAAATCTTCAATATGCCCAATTATGCAAATATGGACCCCCTTAAAATTGTGAATATAACTTTCCCCAAAAATGTGAATGGCTAATATGCAATGTCCTAAATGTACAACACCTAATAAATCTACATGTGGTTTTATTAAGCATGCCCCCTAACATACAAATCTAGAATGCAAGGAATGTATAGGCAATGTAAACATGAAATTACACGTCAAGACGTGATCGAGAGTGACCTAGCGATATGCAATTTCATGAACACCGACGGCAAAAATATTTGACAAATCAAATGTAACTTCAATCTGGACAGCAAGTATTTGAACATCAACTTCCCCCAAAATTTTGTTATTAAACTTGCAATTGGGATTATAGATAGGCATGAAATCGGTTTAAGAACCACAATATTGTCACCCAAAATAATGATCGTGCCTCCATTAATAGAAAGATTTCAGAAAGAATAGGTGGTTGCTCTCGTGTAATAAAGGCCTACCAAATACTTCAGGTACCAAATTTCTGGCTGCATCATTCACGGAAATGGGTGGCCACCGTTTGCAACTACAAAAGACAATATCGATAGAGCTACGACTAGAATCGGTTTGTAGGGGATTGGGCAGATCAAAGAGGGTGGTGTTGAATAATCCACGTCCCACCATTGGCGGTCAAGCAAGAAAAATCAAAGTTGGCCTCCGAATCTTAGTCAACTTTGCTTAATAAAGAAGGAAGAGAAACAGGCCGTGAATGAGGCTCCAAGCTGTCACTTTTAGAAAACAAGTCGACAGATCAACTTGCCTTAGCCAAACCTTTCCTCCATTAGAGATCCTAAGTTTGGGGATTTGATTACACTAATTACCTACTAGGTGATTCGTGTCGTCTTTATCAAATTATGGATTCTAAGTATTCTCCAATACGTGTCCATACATGCTTGTTTGATTGAGATTGACTCGAAAGTGTAATCTACTCGTTGAATGAAGTTAAAGAAATCGAGTCATGACATCAATATAAAGAAAACAACACAACACATCAAAATGTTAATAGAGGACGAATAAAAGTAAAGTGCGAAAAGTAAATCCGATAAGAGATGAGCGAATTATACGCTGCCTCATTATTAAGTTTCAGGACATGAACTAATTTTCAAGTCAAAGTCTAATTTCGGCTAAGGAGAATTACCTACGTACGGTTTCACTAACGATATTAAATACGAAAACATTCAATGAACTAAAGTAATACTATCATAAAAGCAAATAAGATTTGTTTTATCTTATTATTATATTCCGACCGAAAATAATAATAATAATAATATTATTATTATTATTATCATCATCATCATCATCATCATCATTGTTTTTTAATTTATTATAATTTATTTTTATTTTTTTTCTCCTTTAAATTTTACAATGCTATGTTCATCTTTAAACAGTGCTAATTACTTGTATTCCTTCTTCTTTTTTTCCAACAAGATTGACGGATACCAGATATTTTGTAACAGCCCGAATTTCGATGTAATTTCCGGAATCAATGAAACTGATATTATTTCGCATTTCATTTTAGTAAGTCTCACCCAGAGCTGATCACTCTCGGGATACTAACCAATAGGGTATGGCTAACTAGAAGATGGTACGTGGACCGGGGACCCTATCGCGAAAGGGATACCGATCACGAGAGACTCTGAGGAAATATTTTGGGCCAACGTGAGCCGATCTTAGGAAAGGTAACGGATTTGGTTTGGCCAAGGCCAACGATGTACGATTGGGACGCAGGTGATTCTGCAAGACCAAAAGTGCACGTGGTCAACCAGTCCGGAACTTGAACCTAATGATTGTGACCTCTGGAACTAATGATAATTTCTCATTCTCTCAATGATCGAGACCATTACGATACGGGTAGCCCTAGGTCGATATGCGTAACCTCTAACAGCCACCCGTTAGTGAGAGACTCTGAAATTGAAAGTTTAGCGGGTTTTGTTCACGGAATTGGGCCCGGATTTCGGTATCGATTTTCAAAGGCTTAAGAGACTATTTTTGGGAATCTGACGTCATATTACGCTGGCCACTCACATGTGGAGTTAGCACGAGTAAAAATTGGAATTTCGGTCCGGGGTGAAAAATTACGATTTTGCCCCGGGATGCCGCGTCGCTTTTCGAGGCCAAATGAGGTTATTTTTCGTGGCCGATGCCATTTTTTGGTGGCCACGCTTACCAGGAGTCATTTTGGACAAAAACTGGAATTTCGACAAAAATTGGAAAAATAATATTATTTTATTCCCGAAACTTTGACGTGGATTTTCGAGGGCTTGCGCGATGAATTTCGCGATTCCGACGCCATATTATGTTGGCCACGCATATATGGAACGCGTATGTGCGAAAATTGGAATTTCGGTTCGGGATCGGAAAATTACGAAAATGCCCCTAGGCCATTTTTGATTAATTCCGAAAATTGGATTTAATTTTGGGATTAACCAAGGTGAGTTAAGGTTAAACCAGGTCTGGTCAACCATGGTTAGGGGCAAAAGACCATTTCACCCCTAAATTATTGGATTAGGGCAAATCCTAACCTTTGGATCAAGGGCAAAATTGTCCATTGGCTTGATTTTTGACACATGGCACCCTAGGCCCTAGTTTTTGACTAAGATAAGCATTTTTTTCTCTCTCCTCTCTCACTCCCACGACCAGACCAGCCTTCAGAAAATTTTCTCTCCATTTTCCCCTCACTTTCTCTCATTTTCTCTCAAATTTTCACTCTCATTTTCTCTCTCGCCGGAGCTTCGCGGAGCACGCCGCCAACCGCCGTGCCTCGCCGTCGACCCCCTTGGTCCCCCGCTTCGGCTCGGCCTCGGTTCCGTCCATTTCTCTCTCCCTTTCCCCCTCTTTTTCTCTCTTTTTCTCATTTTCCATTCCGTGAACAAGTCCGCCGGAGCTTCGCCGGAGCTCCGATCGCTGTCTCGTCGACACCCTACTGCTCGGCATGTCCATACGTTGCCGTTCAGCCCGGTCCGTACAAGACCCGTACAATTTTACTGTTCACGTCCGTGCGGTCACTTTCATCCGGACCCGTACGCCGTCGCCGCCGTGACCGGCGCCTCGTCGGCCACCGTTCCCAGCCGTCCAAACAGTGTGTCCGTACGGTGGTACTGTTCACGCGTCCGTACGGGGATCACTGTTCACCCGTCCGTACACCGCGCCGCCGTCCGCCGGGAATTCCGCCGCCGGTTTCACTGTTCATCAGTGATCGGCCGCCATTCCCCGTCGTCGTGACCCTTGTTTTGGTGAGTAAAATTCCTAAACCCGGATTAGGAGCGATGTTGCGTTTTTACCGGGACTGGTTTAGGTGTTATCGGTGCATTTTGGACCGTGGCTTAGATAATAGCAAAGTGTGTAATTGAGACTGGGTTGAGAATTGATTGGTAGAAATTATTATCGGAAAAATTTAGTGGATTAATGAGAATCGTTGGGGAGGATAATAGGGTTTAATGACCAATTTAGGAGTTCATCGGTGAAATTGCCGGGTATGCCCGGGTTGTCTGAATTATATTGGTGCTCGTGGTTCATTGCATTGCATAACATGGACACGCATCGCGTATGCCAAGAGTGAGGCATGTGATGAAAATTGTGCGAGAATGCGTGTCGCCATGAGCATGTGATCACCTAAAATACCCCGGCGTTATACGCCGGGTTCGATAATAATGAGCTGTGTGATCACCTAAGGACCTTCGGGTCGATACCGTCCTCATGCACTTTGAAGCAGGACGATGCCCGGTACGTCCGGAAGGCGACCATCCTCATGCACTTTGAAGCGAGGCTGCGGTTCGCAAGGAGAACAAAGTGTTGCGCCTCATGCACTTTGAAGCGAGGCTAGAGACACCGGGCCGAGATCGGATGCTTGCGCCTCATGCACTTTGAAGCGAGCTAGACGCACCGGCCGTGAAAAATTGATGACTCGAGTCGTAATAATAATTAATTGGGCAAGTGTGCCGGTGTGGGCCAGTGGGCCAAAGAAATGTGCATGACATGTCAATGACATTTGCATGCATAAACATGCATTGAATGGCATGCGAGTGTGTGAGACTCGGTGTATGAGCATGTGATTGGCGTACGTGTGATAATGTGTGCCACGTATGTCCCGTGATTATTACATATTGAACTATCTAACCTGCAGGGTCAGAGAATTGTATGATTATGGTTGTGTTATGATTTTAAATGTTTGTTTCCGGTCAGGAGATTGCATGCTAGCCTAGCCTAGGTTTAGGGGTTGAACTCATTGAGATTCGTCTCACGGTTGTGTAAACCGAAACATTTCAGACCCCCAGCAGTAGGATGCCGAGGTCACCA